TTGCCCTCTCCCGGTTTCCTCCCGGGGTCATCTTTCTCCCGATTTCTGACAAAATCAGATTTACACACGACTGTTTCCACTCTGACTTTAAGACAGTTACACCATTGTTTGGTTTCCATGGTAACACGTCTCTTTAGTAGCGCGCGCAACTCAAAGTCTGAGAGGGTGAGGCAGATATTCACAGAAAACAGAACAAGAATCGACAACTGCTCACTCCTTTCCTGTACTCCTTTCCTGTAAAATACAGATCCAGCCCACACATATGCTCCATCAAGGACGGTGCTACAGGCCGCAAGTCAGTGCACTTACAACTATAATAAGCATGTTAATGTTAATCTAACAGCTCCGGCGATCCACTAGCACCCCCCCCCCCAATTTTGCATTTTGAAATGCTCCCGATTTCTGAGGTCTAAAGGTTGGCAAGTATGCCCATGGCTTGTGTCAAGTTGTGTGAGTAACTAAAGTGAACTTATTGTGAGCTAATTATCAATTGAAAATAAACTCATAATCAACTCAAATTCAAACTCGTCAGGTTTATTGTGCTCCCTTCCAACTTGTGTCTACATTTCTCTACAAAGTACAAATGTAAAAAAAAAACTTTTTGCCAGTTAGTCTACAAATGACTTATGACAGCAACTACAGTGAACTACTACAAAGTTCAAACATTTATTTCATTTACCAAACTAAAGTAACCAAACAGTCCCTGAGCTGACTGAGCCTAAATCCCTAAAACTTTGCTGAAAGGTAGAGTTGACTTTACGCATTACACTGTTACACACCTACTATACATTATAAAACGGACAAGTCAAATCAAGCAATCTGATTCTTAGCCGTGATATACTGAGCGCATACCACGGGTAGAATTGTAAGTTACTTTTCACAACAAGTCAGTATCCCTCCGTGCCTGAGACAAACAGTATACAGTTGGGCAAACTGGAACAAGAAAGCAGCGGAGAAGTAACGGGAAGAAACTCTCCTTTTTACGCAGCGGTCCAGAGATAGACACCAAACGGCAAAACATATTCAGTGTGCAGTGCCTTGGCATTAGGGCGAGGGGTGGAGGGGGTATCAGATACTTTTCCGAAGGGTTTGACCATAGCATGGATTTGCTAGAGCGTGTTTAAAGCAAGGCGAACGAGTTTAAAATCTGTAATCAAAAGAGTCCGCGAAAAAGCCGACTAGTGGCGGGTGGCCGGTCGGGGGTGGGTGGGTTGTGGGTGGTGGGGGTGTCGCGGTGATCCGAGAGTCAGCAGTGTGGGGACTAAAGTGAGATGCTAACAGCACTCGCTTAGTGGCCCTCTTTCCAGCCATGCTGTTGGTGACCATCTGAGGACTTCAGAGCTATCTTTGCCCACCTCACCCTCATACATAACTGTCTGATTGGACGTCGCGGCACAAAATTAAGTGCCTCAGCTATCTAAAGTATCTTCCGCGCCTCCAGCTAAGTTCTACTTGCGCTTACTAGTAGCTAGCTCCTCCGCCTCACTCACAATCGCTACCCAGTATATTGTAGCAGCTCCACAGACTGCAATAGACTTTAAAATATCTAATCTGAAATACTATCACATAAATTCACACTTACAACGAGCAGACATCATGCAGATACATATAATTGATGATAAAACTATTAGTTTTCTTTATTTTTTTCCGTTACATTGGAGTATGACAGGTGCAGTCTCTCCTCCGCCTGCCTCCCCTACCGCACGTCGCTGGTTAAAATGCCGTTAAACAGATTTAACGCTAATGAACATTTGTCAATAATAAAGTAATTACCAACGCCCTGTCGTAACACGCGAAATTTGACAGCATTGTCCTAATTATTGCCCTATCGTTATAGTTCTGTAAGGCTGATATTGGTGAGTATAGTGATCAATAAATTAGCGGAAGAAAAAACCTGTGGTTATATGTCAAACGGTTGAAAAAACTCCATTATATTAATTATTTTTTAAAAATATCAGAAGAAAAGTGGTAACTGCTGTTTTCCTCTTTTTCTCGGATGATGATAAAATTGATCATGTCACAATAAATTTCATAGCTGTATT